ATATTTCTTTAAACTAAATTGTGTTAAATAAGACAATATTGCTATTATACAAGGTTACGTCAATGATGGACATAAAAAAACTAAACAAACAAGATTATTAAAAATTGTTAATTAAAAAGGGAAACAGGCATCTTCAAAAAACTTACAGAAACAAAATAGATAGCTTAAAGTGAAAATGCAATCACAAAAAAGTAAACATGCAAGTTCAAGGTTTGAGACATAGTTTTGGCATTATTTTCTTAAGCTACAAATCCCTATTTTGACTCCATGTCTAAAAGGTGTAATATTTAGGAGAGTTAAAATAGGGATTTGTAGCTTGAGGAAATAATGTTAAAACTATGTTTCAAACCTTGAACTTGCATGTTTACTTTTTTGCAAATGCATTTTCACTTTAAGTTACCTGTCTTGTTTCTATAAGTTTTGAAGATCTCTATTCCCTCCTTTTAAAATTATGAGTTTTAATAATCTTGTTTTATCTGTCTCTAATGATTATTAAAGTCTTTGGCACATTTAGTTATTATATAAACTTTTCTCTTTTATTTAGCCTCAGTTTGTAAGTCTATTAAGTAGCTTCTGAACTTTAGTATGTCTAGTAGTGATGAAGATAATCACCACGCCACATATGATGTGAGAGGGAGGTAAACCATTCACTTTTGTCTAATGTTAGTGCCATCATATACAATTTATCCAATTTGAGACATCCGTGAAGGTAATGAATGTACAAAATTTCTTTGCTTGAGTTTATCTCTACAAGTTGAGGTGCCTGTCCTTTGTCTGGGTTATGGGGGGGTGGATACTATGATAAATAACACAAAAATCGTAACTTTCACACAATTTATTTATAACATATTATTACATTTCCTTATTACCTCATCCAAAGTTTTGTATAAGCTTTAAGAACTCACTGTGTATATACTTAAAACATGGTAGAAATGCATGATGGTCAGGGGGTGACCTTGTATGAAAAGGTAGTGGCCAAAGTAGTGGCAGTAAGGGTGCTTTTTGTTACCCGTTTTCAACACCCAGCTCTTAATGTCTTTCAATACTGTTTCACGTCAGTAATTAATTGGCGGTCACTGGCCGCAGAAGTGTATTACGAGACAAAGTTTAAAGATCATGGATAAAAGTAGAAAGTGGCTATAACTCCAGAAACTGCTCTTCGTATCTGCGTTAGGGTGGATGTTGTGGTATAAATTTCATCTGAATTTATGTATTATTGCAATAGTGGTGACCATTTTTTTCCCTTTCATTCCTCCATAGGGAGTGCTAGTGCACTATGTCTATGTTGTGTTATATAAAACGTAATAAAGTTTTTTTTGGGGGGGTGTAATAACATGGTGCTATCTATGAATGTAGTTAACATTAACTTGCATCAAATATAATAAATACTCAATAACATCAATAGAGGGGTTGGAGGAGTTTGTGAACCTCTATTGACATGACCCATGTTCCAAACTATCATCTCCCAAAAAGTTTTGTTGAGATTGGCCCAGTGACCTAGAAAAGTTAGATAACATACAAACACACATTTTTGTGCTTTACGTGTGTGTGTGTGTGTGTGTATATACACACACACACACACACACACACACAGATATATAGATTAGTTTTGGAATCTGTTGTAAGACGTCATATAATCATTTGAAAAGCTGGCAGTTACTCCTCATGAAAGGTGAAGGTATTTTTTGTAAAACCATAAACTATGTCACTGACCTATCAAGTATTCTTCAGACCCATATCAGGAAGTGCTGTTATAAACTGAGATTATCATTACTAAACAGAGGAATACCCATGTTACCCAGCTCAAACACTAATGGATGTAAACCACTTTGGTAATGAAAGGGTTAATATATTAAACTCAGTATGACTTCCCTAAAGGAGAAAAAAAAATATGTGATTGTTTATAAAACCTTACACTTAAAATGTTTAGCTGGGATGAAAAGAAAGCAAAAGAAACTTAGTTTTATTTGTAGGAACTTTAAAATAAAAATAGAAGTGATATCATAATCTTGTAAGCCTTAATATTTGGTGTACAGTTTGAGTTTATTACTCTGGAAAGAAGATCACTTGGCAAGAGATGTGGAGACATTTACTGGAATGCTAACTAATTTAAGAAATTTTAGCTAGAAGGAAAGGTTTAAAGTTTTGGGGTTGAACTGACTTGATTCAGATGTTTAAGATTAAAAGTTTGAATAAACAACCTGAGTGAAGTAAGAAGGTTGCACGTGTGAACTTCAGTATTTAGAGTAGTAGGTATTTGGAAATACAAGTTTAATGATGCCTTAGATTTACAATTTATTTAATTAATTAATTGTTAATTTATTTAGTGCATTAACACACAGTTTTAGAACAGTTTTTGGCATTGCATGTTGGGGAAAGAAATTAAACTTTTGTTTGTCCTTGTAGAGAGAAAGGGATCAACAGAATAGGCAACCTTCTAGTTCCAAATGATAATTATTGTCAATTTGAGACATGGGTTATTCCAATTCTTTCAAGAATGCTTGAAGAACAGAAATCAGCTGTAAGTGTTATTTTAATTTAATTTATTTCTTTATTCTTGGAAAGCAAATTCTACATTTTTAGAACGACTAAAATATAGGGATTGTTTATTTGAGGTTCATCTTTTAAGTAACACAGAAGATTGTTCATAGTTATTACAATTATTTTAGATATAATTTTTATTTTTGTAGTATTTCAACATTATGACTCGCAACAATGAAGAAAGTAATTATTTTTAAAAAAATCACACCACTACTTGATGTTTTACATAAAAGAATGTATGTTCAGTAATTACTGTAATAATGAAATGTTAGTATTAAGGAACACAATTATTTCACTCCATTTTCAAATCCACACATAGTTGATTTTAGGGCACTTCTGTTGTGAGTTGTTTTGGAGCAAAATGATCTGTCATTTTAGAAATATTATTGATAGGTTGCTGATCTTATAAACCAAACAGCCACAAGTCTATTTCTTCCATGGTAAGTTAGTGCATAGCTAAAATTACATAATTTGTGGGTATAAAGAATCATGAAAAATGATATTGACCCTACTTGGCTAGATGCCAATATTTCTGGAAAAGATAAGTACTGGTCAACCTCTTTTGTCAGATCAGTCTTCGTCATAATAACTTCTAAATTGAAAGTAAAAAGGACACTGGTTATACCTAAAAATAGATGAGATTTTGAAGCACAAGAATCAACTAGGGCAACATTGTCCTTATCAGAATCAATTAAAAATAATTAAGTTTATTAATTTAAACACTTGTTATACAAGGTTTTGAAGATTTATAACTTATTTACTGTCTACAATTTACCACTTAAAGCTGAGATTTTGTAAATGTTACTTCTTGTTTGTACAAGCAGTTAAATAAATATATTATTAGTGAATTTTAAGTTTCTTTATTTGATTTTCCCAATGAAATAGAATATAATATGGTCACCATCGAAGATGATAACTCGGTTAGGAAAAGAAATTAACAACTCAAGCTCCATATGCTACTGGGCAGCAAAGGTATATCTTTCTTATTGTTTTTGAGAAGCCTTTTGTTACATTGAGAGTGAAATTTTGGCAGAAAGTATTACATTTCTGTCCTATAATTTACCTATTTTATTTTCAAAATTTAAAACTCTGCAAAATGAGTTTACATTTTTGACTCCCCCAGACCTAAGTGTTTACAAAATGTGTCATTACTATTGCTAATTAATGTTTGATTTTTATTTTTTTGTAACTATTTAAAAAAAGAATAAAACCAATTAACCCAAAGTTTAGATTTATGAAACAGGAGAAATAGTAATGAATAAGAAATACATGACATTTTGCAGTATAATTGTCAGATGAATCTTAAAAGTTAAAATAAATTCAAAAACATAACATACAATGTAAAGAGGGAGATTAACAAGTTTTTCTTTGAGTGTTAGTGTGTGTTAGTAGTTACTTCTAAGCTGTATCTGTAGAGAGACTTACAAAAATGTTGATATATTATATTTCCAAAAATATTAATGTAATAGTAATGTCACAAAATAACACAATAGCTTTTCAGCAGCCTTAAAAAGTAAGCTAAATAGTATCATAATCTGATATGCCACTGCAATTGAAATTTTAACTAATATATATAAGTGTGTGTGTGTACATAGATATTCATGTTGCAGAATTTTTCTTACTATTGCACTTAGTTAATTATCTTTGTTTTTTTTTATCAGTCTCTAAAACCATCTAAGAAGCATGCTGTTGCTAGTGGTAATGCAAACAACATTTGTGGTTATATTTACAGAAATGTTGAATACAAGTCTTATGAAACTATTATTTCAATGTACGAGTTACTTGTTTGGAGTATTGTGTTCAGTTTTGAGCTTCTTACCTTAAAAAGGACATTGAAATGTTGAAAAGGTTCAAAGGAGAGCTACTAAGATGATATTTGGAATGGAAATATTGTCATATTGTATCAGGATTTGATCTCTGAAATTTTTTTCTCTTGAAAAAAAAAGTTGTAGGGAATCAAATTGAGATGTTCCAGATTATTAGGAGAGTTTATAGAATTAATGCATCTTTTTTTTTCATATTTAGTGCTGAGAGCAGTAGGACAAGGTTGTACAAATATAAATTTTAGCAGGATTTGAAGCATCTTAAACTTGGTTTTACTGTGCCAACAAGGTGATTGACTTTTGAAATGGGTTACCTTTAGATGTGGTGGATGCAGTAAACCTAAGGAAGTTTAAGGGAAAGCTAAATTAATATTCAAATGATCAGTGCTGGATTTCAGTTGTTGTTTTAGTTTAAGTGAATGGGGTAGTCTCAGTGAACCAGAAGGCCCCTTGTTGTCTCTTAAATGTTACATTAAATATATATATGGGGGGGGGGGATGTACAAGTTGATCAGGCTTAAAACAAAAAATAGGCAAAATTTGGCAGTAGAATTTAATAAACAGTTCCAGTCATGTGTTCCAAAGTAACATTCAATTTTTAAAGTATACTAAAGTTGTGTAAGAAAATTTTTTGAAGTGTTGGATGTTATTCCTACTTTCTATAAGGCTGCTCTTCGGTTAACAAATTTTGCAATTAGCTGAAATATGAATTAAAATAAGCATCATTTTTTACAATATTCACATAAAAGCCAAGAAAATGCATTAATAAGAAAACACGTTGGACTTCAAAAAGTTTGAGATTTTCCATATGTAATATTAGATTGCATTTGTATTCTCTAAATAAAGTTGTTAGGCTTCATTGCTCTGGATTTTTCCAATATTTGTCTTCAGAATGAAATACCAATTTTCTGCCCTGGCATTACTGATGGTTCTCTGGGAGATATGTTATATTTTCATTCTTTCAAGGATCCAGGTTTGATAGTTGACATTGTTCAAGGTAAGATTTTTTTTTTTAATTTTCTTCTAAATATTTTTTAAAAGTACAAATGACTAAACATTTTGCAGTTTTTAAGATAAATATGGGTATCACAAGGAAGTAAGTGCTATTGTAGAAATGATAAACAATATATGACATAGCATTGTAACTTTTGCATTTAAACATGATGATTTATGCTGGACATAATATAACTGTTTCATTGTAGTTTTTGTATGCTTGAAGAAAATGGTTCAGCATCTTGAACAGAATAGTTGACTGATGAGTCCAGTGACTTATTGATCCAAATATATTATATTTTCTTGTTGTGGGCTCATAAAAACTAATTTCAAAAACAGGTTTCTACCAAAATGGCATTAGCCTCATATTTACGGTTGAGGTAAATATTAAAATTATTAAATGTTATTTGATAACTAATTTGACATTTAGCCTTGTATAGTCTGTGCTTTTGTTTTAAATTAAAAAAAAAGATGAGTAACTAAATATTTTAAAAGCCATAAACATTTTTTGCAGAAGTAATTTATATATATATCATGTATAATGTATAGATTAATTTTAATTAATGAATTTAATGTAAAGAAAGTATTTCATTCAAAGTTTTCCTCAGTGAAAAGTTATATACATTGTTTAATAAACTTGCTGTCATTTATTCTCAAAAGAAAAATGTAATGATAAGGTTCTTATTTCTTGGTAATTTTTCAAAGTGAACTTTTTTTAAAATGCATATTAAAGTACAAAATGTTTCTAATGTTTCAAGTAATAACAAACTAATTAACAAATTATAGTTAAAATTTTCTCCAAAATAATCTGAATAATTTGTTAAACATGAGTAGTTACGCAAAGAGAAAAATTAGTTACTAAGTTAATTGCAAAAATAATAATACAAAGTATGGGGAAACACACTAAGTCACAAGTGAAATAAAATTTAAATCAAGATATAGATTTTTGAAGAAAAAAATGGAATCAGAAAAAAAAAGTAGTGAAATATGAAATAAAAACTTTTAAAGAATAAAACTTATAGCCTGAAATATTTGTAATGAATATAATGTGTGAAATATTATCATTCTTACTTTTTGAAGTACTGATGATTTTATAAGTACAAAATACTCATAGTATGTGTACTAGTTTCAGACATGTAAATCACAATACATTTGCACAAAAAGTAGATTCTTACTTTTTGGCAGCAAAATATTTTCAGATTTAAGGTAAAATGTTGAGTTTTTGTTTCCTTAACTTTAATATTCATGCTTATTTTTAATTTAATAGTGTTTTTTGATAGTTTAGAAATATAACCAGACACTTAATATCCAACCAAATCCTTTGGCCAAATTACCAATATACTGATCTCTAAGACAGATTTAGTTGATTTCTCTCAGTGACGAGAGAAATGGTGATCTGTGTTCACTGATTATCATAAATGACTTCGAATGAAAAAAAGATTCCTATGTGGAATTACCAAACAACAAACCATTCAGAAATGTTTGGGGCATTAATAGTAGTCATGCTAAAGAGTTACACTGTGCAACTGGTGAAATGGTTCCATTGGATAGCTAACCATATTCAGTTGTTACTGATTAGGGGCTTACTTGATGGAGAAAACACAATCACAATATGAATTACAAGCAAAAACCTGTTTATCTGAAAACATTGTCCTAGATATCTGATCATACTCGCAACAAACAACAGTTTCATTGGTGTCACAAGATACTGGATCACAAAACATAATGGATTTGCAAACTGTTACTCTTAATGTCAAGTTTTTTCATGCAATTGTTACTGGTGGTACTATAGAGTAAATGTCGAAAATCACAAAGAACTATTTTCGTCTCCTAATAATTGATAATGGATTAATTATTGTGATTCTAGTGATACTGGATTATGAAGTAAGCTGTGTTTCCTCAACACACACACACACATTATGACATGTGATCATAAATATCTTGAATCCAAGTGGGCTTTAGTTGATCTCATAACAGTCAGTAGAAAGATTGTTACATATTTTAACCACTCATCTCTAGCATTTTCAAAATTAATAGATGTGCACAATTATTTAAATATGCTTGTAAATAAAAACATTTGTACAGACAAGATGGAATTCATCATTGAGGAACTTTTGGAGAAAAAAAGAGAGCAAGATGCCTGTATACAACTGACAGCAAGATCATTAACCTCAACAGAATAGTCACTGGTCCCTATTAGAGACATGTTTAAAGTTACAGCGATCAATTGAAGACATTACTAAAAACATTATCTTCACAAACTATATTATTTCAGAAGTTATCCCCACTGTGAGTACTCTTCACGTGTACCTGTTAAAGGACATCACAAATTACTTTGGACTGAAAACAGTGAAACATGCTGGAATTCAAATTTCACCTTAACTACTTTGTTGGATCCTTGCTTTAAAGTAACATTCTTCAAAAAGCAGAATTTGATGGAGAAAGTATTGACATGCCAACTTCACAATTATGTGTGCTGGAAGATTTCAAAAGACCCAGATATTCAAATAAACTTGAATAGTGACTATTCTTTTTCAGGAGTAAAAAGATCGTTTTTGGTTTTTTGATGATCTTTTCTGCTAATTCTCTCATCTTATGTGCTTAAAGATAGAGTTAATGAAGTAACTCGGATGACTCCTCACCATTAGCACCAACACAAGTTAAAAGTGACTCATCCTAGGATTGTTACAGTGAAATATCTACAGGCACCTCTGGCATTGATAATATTGGTCAAATTGATCCAGACAGAAAAGTTGCTGCCACCAGTAGAGCTGTATGATTTAATTGATTAAGCAGTATAATCACTGAGCAATGATTATATTGCTTAATGTCACATAAACTGATCGATTAAATGAAATTACGGCAAAAGTAATTCGTCAAAGTTAGTGTTTCTCATTATTACTGTTTTGGGTTTTTCAAGCAATTAATTGAAATTCTTATTTTGATTGTCATGAAAATAGTCAACTAATCAAAATTAGAATTACTGATTATTACTATTTTTTAATTTTTCCAACTATCCAAGTAATGGAAATTTACTGTTGTGCTTGTTTGTTGTTAATTAAGCACAAAGCTATGTAATGAACTACCTGTGCTCTGCCTAATTTTAGCTTTATAAGTTTATTTTTTTACTTCATATTTGTTTAGCATGGGTAATTTGGGAATGGGAAGGAACTCATGATTCATAGGCCCTGATTTGATTCCTATTGTCTCCAAACTTGCCATGTCTTTGTTATGGTAAAGCTACTGAGGCTATCTACCACTGTCACTAATCTTGAACTGCTTACTCAATTAGATTGATAAAGATTAAGATGAGTGTTGTTATTCATGTACTATACTAAGTTTGTCTTATTTCATTTGAAGTTTAATATTTCATTGGCATAAGAGAGCAAAGTTATATGCTTTGGAAAAATGTCAAAATTATTTGGATTTATGCACACAAAACATATGTTACTTGTAGCTGAACTTTCAAATTTGTTAGTGTTATTACTATTCTACATTGATAAAGTTAATGATTATTTGACCTTCTGTGCATGAATTTGTTACTTAAAACTTCCTAGTACTTTAGCTTATACTGCTCTTGGTAAATATGGATGTTTTCAACTATTCATATATGAAGCAGGTATTAAGATCCTTTTAAACAACCAAATAGACTACTTGATTGACAAATTTTCATTTAAACAAAAAAAAATTCTTAAAGAAAAAACAGTCAGTAGAATTTATGGTTTTCACTCGCATGTTTTTTTGTTTACATGAAAGACAATAAGAGTTAAGTTTTTCGGAAAATAATTTACATAGAAGTAATTTTAGTCATAGTTCTTCAATTATTCATACATGAAAGTCTATCAGATTTAGGTAGTTCAAATTAAATTGTTTCCAGATATAAGAAGAATTAACTCTATAGCGGTGAAAGCTGTTAACTCTGGGATTATCATATTAGGTGGTGGACTTGTCAAACATCACATTTGCAATGCCAATATGATGGTAAGCCTTCATTCAGAAATGCTTCTAAGTAGAATGTTATAATTTATATTCAAGCTAGTAGTAAGCAAATTCTTTGTACATAATTTGAAAACTGATGTAGTCATTAACTCTTTCACTGCCACGCTTGTAAATAAGTCTCCCAGTGTCCGATTTATTTTTAGAAACATGATAGAAAAACAAAAAGACACAAGTTTTTAATATTTGATTACTTGTCTGAAACTTAAAACTGGTAAACTTGTGAAGTCTGAAAGGAAATACCCATTCTTCATGGTGATATAAAATTTCAAACTTGTGAGGTAGTGCTCTTGGAGGGACATACAAGTGTCAGTGAAAGTTAAACAACACCTTGATTACATATTAAGATGTAAATGAATAATACTGTTTCTATGGTGCTTTTGTTACTTGCAAGTCGTATTGAACATCCCACAAAGTATAAAGCAAAAAATAGTTCAACAGCTTTGTAAGTTAATGGTCTGTTTTTTGTTTATAATTTATTCTCAAACATCTTTTCATTGTTCAATAGTATTTTTTAGAAATATTTTACTACAGTTACGAATGCCTGAGCATGGCCTAGTGGTTAGTTTATAGGACTGGAATTCTGAGTGTCTATGTTCGAATAATCTGTTATTTTCTGTAATAATGCATTTACATTTTTTGAATTTTATGGGATATTCTTAAATTTATTTAGAAATTTTTTGTAATTAAAACTGTTCAGTGTAGATTTAAAATACAAATTTTCACTTTTGTGTGGAAAATTATTAAAACCTGCAAAGAGCACTTATTGATTTAATTATTAATTTGCATCATGTTTTCAGAGAAATGGAGCAGATTTTTCTGTTTATGTTAACACAGCCAATGAATTTGATGGGAGTGACTCTGGAGCTCTGCCAGATGAAGCAGTGTCCTGGGGCAAAATAAAAAAAGAAGCCACACCAGTAAAGGTAACTGAATATATATGAAATCAACAAACAGGGTATTTTTTATCCTCCTACAGAATGATTTGAGATTTTAATAATTGGGTTATCTTTATGCCTGTCAACTGTTAATTTTCTTTTACTTACCAGTTTGTAGTTCCATATCTCAGTTTGGCATTCGTTTTGACATTAAACATTAGTCCATAAAAATTTTCAAATGAAAAAGTAACTTTGCTGAACTTATCTTGCAGTTCAAATAATTTCATAAAATTGAAAATGCAAACTGTAATATAATTCTATTAAGCATGTTTTAACCAAGTAGCTCATTCTTTCCTAAGTTTTAGTTGAGAATGAGAAACTGAATTCAAACATTATATATAATATCCTTCTCTCTAGCAGTTTCAAATGCTTCAAGATCATTGAGGTAGTGAAGAGATTTGTTTTTATGAAATAACAATGAAATAATGTTGCACCTAGACAAGAGCAGACTGGTACTTTTTTGGTTACTAGAAAATCACTTTGTAACCAATTCGCATGTCATTAAGATTGATCTGGCCCAGCATGGCCAGGTGGTTAGGGCACTTGACTTGTAATCTGAGTGTTACAGGTTTGAATCGCTGTCCCACCAAACATGCCCTTTCAGCCAAGGGAGCATTATAATGTGATGGTCAATCTCACTATTTGTTGGTAAAAGAGTAGCCCAAGAGTTGATGGTGGGTGGTGATGACTAGCTGCCTTCCCTATAGTCTTTTGCTGCTAAATTAGGGATAGCTAGCGCAGATAACCTTCGTGTAACTTTGTGAGAAACTTGAAAAACAAGGATTGGTCTAGGCCACACTGGGATGAGGGGGTTTGCATGATATTCTTTGCAGTTTAACATTAATTTAGAATTCACAAACTAAAAGGCTTAGACTAGTGAATTGTATACACAGACTGTTATATACACTAGAAACAGCTTCTCTAGTTGAAATCTTGTAATGACTAATGCACTGAGTTCTTTTATTTTTTTGGCTCATACAATTAAAAATTTTTATTGCATTTAGAATTATCAGGTTTTACTTATGATAGCTACACACTTGCTTATGGCTTTCAAGAATTTAATGATTTTGAAACTTATGTTCTGTTAGTAAAATAGAAAAATAGTCCATACATTATTAATAGTTTTCCACCTCACAAACACATATTTGGACTTTCCAGTTTCTTTTGAAACAGATTTTAATGATTTCTGTTGTTTTTTTGCATTTCTGACTACTTTGATGTTTACTTGGAGATTATAAACTTAAATTTTTCTTTTGTATTATATAATGAATTTTATATGAGCATTCAATAAAAAATTACTAAAACCAGGAAATATTATCCTTTTTTCAGCCAGTAACCTTTTATATTAAATATAGCTGCCCCTTGTTGGAATCTAAACCCTGTATATTTTAGCATATTCTATTTTCTGTTTTTACAAAGTAGAAGTTTCGTCATCCTTATTTAGAGCTTATAGATAACTAGAAAACATTGTACATTTATCATAATTCTAACAACAGTGCAATGATTAGTAATTTTCTTACGTAATGCTTTCACATGGAATTATTGGGAAATGAAAATCAGTTTCATTACAAAACATTATATTTCACATTATTATTCTTAACTTTGTTTAACGCAAACTGGAGTTTATTATGAGACATATCTATAGACAAAAATAATCACAACCTATGTCTCCGGAATGTAACTTTATTAGCTTATTATTTCGCTATTTCAGCTTCATCAGGAACTGTTGATATCCTACAAGTTCACTGAGCCAGTTACATTCTGGAGATATAGGTCATGATTTTATTTACGTTTATTGATATTGTATTTCACTTGTTTTCTAACAATTAAATATGTTTGAATTATAGGTTTTGTGAACTTGCCAATAGCAGTTAACTGAGGAGAAAATGTGCTGTTTGTCAGTTGTTATGTTAGCTGTTATTGTAATGCAAGAACAATGGCAATAAGCACCTGTATATTTTAATGTTGAAATATATTTACAGGTATATGGGGATGCAACTTTAATATTCCCACTTCTAGTGGCAGAAACATTTGCAAGATGGCATCATGAAGTTTGCTGAAGACTTACTTCATGCTTGAAATACTACATTATGTATTTATGACTTTGCTTTTATTGCAAGAAAATCCTTGTTAGTTGATTTCATAACATTCGTTTTTAATAAATTCTCCATACTTTTTTAAAAACACCTGATAAGCTTTAATACAATATAGATATTATAATTGAACTACATATAAGTTGAAGTCACAGGAAAGCAACATTGAAGGAAATTATTACAGTGTGAACACCTCACAAGATTAATATAAAAAATTATTTTTTAATTGAAAGCTTATTCCCATACTGTACCTACATCCACTCATAAGAATAGCTATTCTTGTTCAGTGCTGCCCTCTATATGTGAACGTTTTCTTTAAACATGTTGCAAGCCTTCCACTACCCCCCTATTGAAATTGCAAGATTCCAGCATGTCTCTAATGCAAGTCATCATGAGTCACCTCCTCACCAATAGGAGCATGGACATGCTGACATGAAGCATGTGACTCCCTCTACACTTCTCTAGCTAATTATCACTTCTCGTTTGGTAATGCTTGTATTCAAACGTGCTCTTTTGTTTGTTTAACCCTATCACCCTGGGTACCCTTTACTGCACAGGACACAAGGTTTTAGTGTCTTACATTCAAAATTTCATTAAACTAAATTTTGTTTATGTTATAA